TTCCTTTGATGACAACAAAGGTTCCACTTCGCCATTATAAAGTTGTATTTTTTATTGGTACTTGACCTCCATGAATTTGTAATGAATTTGATAGAGTTTTTAGAAAGGCCTCTGCTTTTGAGTCTATTCCTGATACTGTGCAAGCGAATAGGAATAGTTTCCTCTTGTTCAAAGGGTGTTATTGATTGTTGTGAACTAAGCGAAGTAGATCTCGAATTACAGGTAGACGAACTGGAATTCCTATTAACATTTTTAATTTTATTGGATACCATGGTTGCGTTGCCCATTTTGGCACAATTAAAATGGCTCTGCTCACCTTTTCTTCCTCTATCTTTTGTAGAATTCTCCCAATCAAACTAAAAGGAGGAAAAATATAAGGTTTAAAACTTGACCAGTTAATAGAAAATGCATCTGAAGTGAAAGCATGAGGATCAGGAAACCATAAAATGTAATTCTCTAATTGTCTATTCAATCTAGATGCAAAAAGATCAATATATATCTGGATCAAAAAATGTTCTACAAATCTCAATAAAAACATTTTCATTCAATTTCCATTCAGTTGAGTCACTGAATGATCTAGACATATAGTCAGCAGTAACATTATTTTTTCCCACGATATGAACAGCTGAAATTATGATATTTCTACTATCGCACCATAACCAAATACTTTTGGCCTCTTCAAACAAAGATAATACAGATCCACCCTGATTGTTGATATATGAAACTGCAGAACTATTATCTGATCTAATACAGATGTGAATATTTCTCATATTCTAACACAAACTCTAAAGCGAAAATTTAATTGCCATAATCTCTAGAACATTTATATGTAAAGCTGATTCCATTTTTGTCCATCTACCGCCTGTGATCTGACCATTAAATTCGCGCCCCATCCAGGTTTTGATGCATCTGTTTCTAAATAAATATCAACTTTTGGATCTCTTATCCATTTTCCGTTCTTAATTCTTATATTATTCTTCCACCAAATAATTTCACTCCTAGAAAATTCACCTAGTGTCATTTCTGCATCATAATTGTTATTCGCTTTCGTTAAAGCCTGAACTTTATCTCTATCAAGATATCTAAAAAATAATGCTACTAAATTTATTGCGTGAAACGAAGAAGTGAATAAACCAATCAATCTTGCTACTTCTCTGATGCGACAAACTTCCTCATTACAATACACAATAATTTTCTCAAGTTTCTCATCTGGTAGAAATACCTTAAATTTGACAGAGTCTAAAATATGACCTAAATAATGCATTGTGGTGGATGGAACTAAAACAGATTTTTCTCTGTTAAAAACAAAACCCAGTTTTTCTAATAAGTCTACTATAATATATGCATGTTGTTTACAGAGAGCAAAGTTATCTGCTTCAATCAAAGAGTCATCAATATAGTAAAATGAGGAAATTCCTTGTTGCCGAATAAAAGCAAAAATGGGTTTCATTAATTTGGTAAAAAACTCTAGGAGCTGAGGAAAGACCAAAAATCAAAGCATTACATTGATATAAAACTCCTCTCCATGTAGTAAAATAGTGATTCCCATCAAGCCACGAACCCCGTTTTCACTTAGATCCGACACTAATTTAGTGTTTAGGCGGTGTGATAACAGGCCAAGCAATAAATAGATATTCTACACTAATTATAATTAGTTATATAAGTCCGCCATCATCAGGAATCCACTTATATATATCAACATTGTATATTCATTTTATTTGTTTTATTATATACCGGTATGTTCTTTTTAAATAGTAGAACCGGTAAGGGAATTTCCCAAGGTCACGTAATGTTTAAATAATAAACACAGATGAAAGTTGTGTGTGTAAATAAATATGCAAGAAAGCGATAATTTGTTAACTGTCTCTGACTGAGATATGTCAGTAAATGATATGGTTGATTATATTGTAATTGACCAGTAAGTGAGGCTTTAACAACTTTTATTAAAGTTTTGAACTTGTTATGAGATCTCTTAAACTCCTGTGTTTTTTATATGCTATAATTGGTTTGTCTTTGAATATATCTTTGAGTTCGGGCTCTCTTGATAGAGTGTGCCAGTATTTCAGCAATTTCTTTTTGATATTGCAAATGGCTGGGTTGTATTTTGTAACCATGACCGATGGTGTATCAGAATTACTGTTAACTTTCTTTTTCTGATTTAAACGTTCTGCAGTAATCTCACATGGAAAATTTACCGAATTATCTTAATTCTGTAAGATATAGGTTCTGACCCCCCCCCCCCAAGTCTTATTGACATACGTGGTTCTATAAAGGACAAGTCCATCACCAAATGTGAAACATTTCCTGGTGACACTTCTTTGATAAGACGGGAGAACTGATATACAGTAATGTGCAGTCCAGAACAGAAAGCATTGTCAGACAGGGGAAGATGGAGACATTGATCACTCTACCTTGGGGTGCGCATTTATGGAGACTTTGCTGTACCAGATCAGGAGACATACTAGTTTGTATATGTACCCCTGATAAAAAAAAATCATAAAAAATTGTCCGCTTTCAGGAACAGAGAGTAACGCAAGAAATAGATAAAGATTAACATACAAAACATTTTTGGAGGTGGGAAATGATGAGTTTATTTGACGGAGAATAACAATGGTGACCTTTGTGTCTCTGATATGAATGCCGATACAGTAATAGCGATGGACAAGATAGAAGGAGTCCTATTCCGATACAATGATACACCAGCCGGGAGGAATGAACAATTCCGACCAATGTACATTGTGACAGACTCACTGAGTCAGATCATTATAAGTGATATTAATGATAATTGTCTTTTTATATCAGGTCAAATTGGCCATTGATATAAAAATATATTCAATGTATTTTATACTACATATATATTTACCTGTAGTATAAACGATATCTATTTTACTTACCAATGAAATTGAGGAGAGCGTCTGTTTGTAAATTACAATATGCTTGGAACTGCAGAACATGAATTGAATGGCGATCAAAATGGATCTGTACATCATTAATGAGCCTTTGAGATAATACAAGTACTAATTTTTGTAATGGAATTAAAATCAGATCGAAGATCCGCTCGCATGCTCGCTACTCTATTGTTAGTGTTGCGAGTATGCGAACGAATCTAACATTTAATTTTAATTGGATACTAATTTTATAGATTTTCTAATTCATAAGTTTTATCAAAAACAAACAATTTGTATTGAAAGGGTCCTTTGTAGTGAACTGCAGTGTCACTAACACTAATATTTTGTGAGTTTTATGTCCTGGCACTCACCTTTCCTAACATTCGAAAATATTGGCTACATTTTTAAAATTTACGTCGGAAATATACTTTTTAATTTCATTCTTAACTTTATTTTTTATTGTGTAAGAAGGTAATACAAAAGTATACAAAATTTTACAGAGACATTTATTAATTTTAAACCCTTTGCGTTACTCTGAGAAAGTTTTAAAAAATATTCAGTGTATGTATAAACCTGCAAAAGTTGGTAGTTCACCTCTGTAAATAAGTATACCCTGGTACTGCGTAAGCAAGGAAGAAATATATTCTTATTTGTATATATTTCATATGACACTTCACGTTAATTAACTTCTCAATCGCAAATGCTTACTCCACCCCCATCCCCACCCCACCCCCTAAATCACAATTTATCCAAAATACTTATCTAAACTTATGAAATTCTAAACCGGCTAAACATAAGTGGAAGAAATTTTTCGGCATAATAATGCTACGGGGACGGATCCAGGTACATTTTATATATTTATATACATCAATGTATACCTGCAGAGTTTTTTTTTTTTTGAACTCTGTATGCAAAAAATGCTAGTGTCTGAAAATAGTTTAATTTAATCACATCGTAGTAAAAATTATATATTTAAAATTTTATATTATAAAAGTACGCCCTTGATAGGCGAATCAGGGATAAGAGCTCGGATACCCCTCCCTCTCGATCCACGTTATTTTCATATCGTTTTTATTCTTATGCTCTTCTGTCAAATTCATAATATTCTAAAGATCTGCGTAAATTTTAAAATTTTATCATTACCAATTAAAATCAAATCAGATTACATTCAATATAACTTCTCGTATTTGTTTTTATGCCAGATAAGTTTGAGGATTTGTGTCATTCTGTGGAATAGGGTTTATCAATGGTATTATAATTCATTGACTGTCGTTATGGAGAAGTTTTGAGGAATCTAGAGGGGCTGGGATCTGGGGAATCCCTGCTCCCTCCTCTTGAATTTTTCAGAGTAATTTCAGAGTTATTAAATTCATATAATAAAGTAACCGAAATTTGAGCTTTCTCTTCTTGTAAACAACAAAAAATCCTCTTTAGCTGACTGGAAGTGATATATATTTCATAAAAAGCGGCTCCATCACGAGAAGCCCCCCCCCCCCCCAAAAAAAAAATTTCTGAGGCAGATTTTGATTGTTAATGTTTTGTTAGTTTTTTAGTTTTTTGTTTGTTTCCTTTATACATACATACATACGTATATATATATATATATATATATATATATATATATATATATATATATATATATATATATATATATATATATATATATATATATATATATATATATATATATATATTCAAACAATTTCTGAGTTAGGTGCCCCCGTCTCCAAAAAATACTTGGTTTTACGTGTGTTTTTTTAAAATCCCTATTGTGGCCCTACCTAGAATGGCCTAGACATACTACATGTAGTTATAAAATTTTAACACTATACACGAGAATGCACTTACACATTCCTGTTTTTTCGAGAGTTCAAAAAGTGTCTGAGTCATATCCCATTAGAAATCCTAGATCCGTCCCAGTTTTCATTCGTCTAAGACTAAACCGAAAGTAAAACTTCCGGGGGATTTCCCTTTAACTTAGCGGAAAGGTTATACAGGTAATGAATCTAGGTACTTTAGTACTTTAACCTGTAATTTATTATATCTATGGATAAAGTATGAAAACAGAGATAGAATAAATAAATAAATGTAAGTATTATTATACAGGAGAAGATGGCTTCGTCGTCAACGTGGGCACAGTACGTGATCACTTGTGAACTTTGTGAAAATCCTACTCAACTATTCTGTAACGACTGCCAAGTCAGTTTATGTGGGGGCTGTATTTATAAACATGTAGATAATCTGAAGTCTCAAACACATGACATGGTTTCTTTCACGGACAGGGAGGAACGGCTAGTGTTCCCATTATGTGCCTCACATCCAAAACAAAGATGTGAGGGACAATGCCAACAGTGTAATGTCCCTGTCTGCTTCAAATGTCTCACAGCTTATCACAGCGGCCATACTGTCGTGGACATGGCAGATATTATAAAACAGAGCAAAGAAATAATCGAGAAAGAAACGGGGGAAATTGAAACTTTTATGTCAAAATTTAACCTAGGTGAAGCAAAAATGGATCAAAGGATATCCAAGCTGTTAGAACAATTTGAAAATTTGGAGAGAGAGGGAGAAAATCTGAGAAAAACCTGGCACGAAGAAGTGGACAACATTTTCAACACGCTACAATCAACCATTAGGACAATGAAAGATAACAGACTCAAAGCTCTCAAATCGCACCAGTCCTTGCTCAAGAATTCAGGAACAAAATTAGCACTTATAATGAAAGAAAACAAGAATATCCTGAAATCGAATAAAGTAACTGATGTTACAAGTTACAAATCACAAGTGAAGGAATTCATGGAGATTCATACAGATGTTGATGTAACGATTCCTTCCTTGAAAAGCCAAACAGTCAAGGGGAGCGATCTTAGCCTAGAGTTAGCAGAATACAAGGCTACATTGAGACAGACATCTTTATCCAATCTGACCGATGAAGAGTCTTTTTTATTTGTAAAACAAATATTGGAAAATGTTGAAGTGATTGCTAGCATTCCATCTGAAATGAAACCGTTAGGTTCAGTTATCTGTGTTGAAACCAATGAAGCTTGGGTTTGTAGTTCAGATAAAACCCTTAAACGTATTGACATACATGGGTCGGTAAAGGACATGATCACTGCAGCATGTGAAACTTTTCCTAATGACATTTCAGTGACCAGAGAGGGAGAACTTATATACAGTGATGCCAACAGCAGAACAGTAAACATTTTCAGACAGGGGAGGATAGAGACACTGTTCACTTTACCTGAGGGATGGCATGCATGGGGACTGTGTTGTACCAGATCAGGAGACATACTAGTCAGTATGTGTACTCGAGATCAAAGTCATTACAAAATTGTCCGCTTTCAGGGACAGACGGCAACACAAGAAATCTATAAAGATGAACATGAACAACAAATTTTTAGAGGCGGGAAAATAGGAGTTAATGTGGGGGAGAATAATAATGAGGATATTTGTGCCTCTGATAGCGACGCCAACACAGTGATAGTGGTCGATAAGACAGGAAGAGTCCGATTCCGATATGACGGTACACCAGCCAGGAGGAATAGACAATTCCAACCTATGCACATTGTGACAGACGCTCTGAGTCAGATCATTATAAATGATATTAATAATGACTGTCTTCATATCTTAGATCAGAACGGACAGCTTTTAAAATGTGTTGACAACTGTAGTCTTGAGAGACCCTGTGGACTGAGTGTGGATAGTGAAGGAAGGTTATGGGTAGGGTCATACTATACAGGTATTGTAAAAGTCATCCAGTATATGGAATAAAAAAATATCAAATTTATATCTATTGTTATGAAGTTATTATATGAATAACAATGAGATATTTGTGCAAACATGGTTTGCAGCGCATAAATTAACAATTATCGAAAATTGTATTGGGTTCTATTTATAATATATTTGGAGACATTTTTTGTTCATGTACATGCACATACAAGATGTGTTAATTTAGTTTTAACATTTAAAACTGGTCTAACCAGGATTTGATTTTTAACCTCCGACTAAACTTTTTTAAGACTGACTTGTAGATTGAAATAAATTAGTGACAGGAATGACCACTTTATTTGCATTATGCTAGCTATTTGACTGTATATGAATGAAATGAAAGATCATCAAAGAGCATACTAACATTCCATTATATTAAGAAGTGCCCATCCTAATAAGTAAATAACATATATACAAGGCCTACACATGTATACTATACATAAATAGAATAAAGCAAATAAAAAAAATTCTACGCCAATGCTACACTTGTATAGAGTTTTGCAAATTTTTATTTTCCAATTAAGATTGGGAGCACATATATTTGTTAATTACACTATGTTTTGAACATGAACAAAACATGAATTAATTGAATCCAAATTAAATTCTATATTGAAATGCAAACAAAAATCAGTGATAAATCTTTAAGATAATAAAAGTACTATCTTATATAATCTTTTGTTTTTAATATTTTTTTCATCATACACGTAATTTATAACTGTGACAATCAAAGGTCCTCTGCCGTGACTTATTGTGTCATTTAACACCAATGGTCTGTTCTGCAAGTTTTATGCTTTGACACAAGCTAGCACCCATCTTACATTTTGGAAATTATTTCATTCTTAACTCTTAAATTATCCTTTGAGGCTGCAGTATGAGAAAAAATAAGACGAGGCTTTTTGTTTCATGTGTATAAAAGCCAGTCAGGAACATGAATTAACAAATATATTCAAAGGAGGCTTTTTATATTTGATGACTTTAGAACCTTAAATAAATGTCACTGTTATTTCATAGAACACAATAATTCTGATCATCGCACGGAAGTTTTGAACATGTTGATACACCTACACAGGAAACGAAACATTCGAAAATCTTGGCTGGGCAACACAGGGATCTAAAGAAAAAAAGTGATTTGTATATTCTTGACATATTCTTAGTGTAAATTTACATTACTACCAGTCCACACCTCGCAAATTAGAAACAATATACTCTGTTACAGTACTTCCAAACTATTTAAAGAAATTAAAGTTTTATTGATTGATTGTATGTTGTTTTACAAATTTGCAGCTCTCCACCGGCAAGTGGTGGCGTCTCCATATGAGTGAAAAATTCTCGAGAGGGACGTTAAACAACATACAAACAAAAAAACGTTCCATTCCAGAATTTTTCACTCATATAGAGACGTCACCATATACCGGCGAAGGGCTTCAAATTTTGACCTTTACTCGGCACACAGGGCCACTGAGCAGTCAGCGGTGAGGGATCTTTATCGTGCCAACGCCTGCCGTGACACGGGGCCTCGGTTTTTAAGATCTCATCCGAAGGACCCGCAACTTTCACTTCAAAGTGCCGAGCGCATGACGAAGGAACAGTTGCTACCCATTTTTTATCGACTTAGGTCAGTAGTGGCTGAGATTCGAACTCACGACCTCCCGATCACGGAGCGAGCGCTCTACCGACTGAGCTACCGTGAACGGTGAAATTAAAGAAAATAATAATATTACTTTATTTTAAAAATCTATTTAAACAACGCAACACATAGATATCAGATTTAAAGAAAGTTCTGTGATAGACATTCGAAAATTTCATTTTTCACTACCGGGTATTTATATATCAAAGCAAACATTATCGTTGCTTGGCAACGGATACCACTTTTCAAACAAAAAAAAATGAACGTGTTTGAATTCAAATTTCAAAAGAGACATTCATCTTTTATGTGTAATACATGTACATGCAACAACTGTAATTCTTAGATTCAAATTTTAATTTGACCTTGATTACTGATAAAATCTCGAAAAATGCTTTATCATCAAAAATGCAATATATGTATATCTCCCGAGTCCCAGTGTTTATTACATAACTACATGAATCTTTAAATCTGATATCTATGTGTTGGGTTGTTAAAATACTTAATTTATTCATATTTTCATTTTACTTCAAATCTTTCCAGATAATTGACGTCTTGTCCTACCACATGAAATTAAAAATCGGCCAGTTGCTAAGGAAATGTCTTTGGCCAGGTGTCCATAGTAACACACTCATGCGTGTATACTGTAAAAAGCAAACCTGTAATTGAGAACATAGAATTAAGGGTTTATCCTTTACCTGTTCACAGTGTATACTGATATTCATTTTTGTTGAGAGTGTAACTTATTGTTCAATCTCTGCATGGTTTACATAGACATTAATATGGACTGCATATTATGTTTATTGCTTTTTGAAACTCAATTGTCCGAAAGAATTCGAAAAAGGTAAAGAAAATGCATGCTTATTGTATACTTGCATTTTTTTTCTAATATTTCTTCAGATGAACTTTGAACTAATATTGGATGTATCTGATTGATTTTAGTATATAATACAACTTACCTCTCCAAATAAAAGAGATCACAACAAAAAGGCCAGATAATTAACTTTTTTCTTTTCTTTAAATGTTTAGAATGTTCAGCAAAATTGACTTGGATTTCATTTTGCCAACTGATTCACATCTTCCTCAACCCGTGCATGCACGGGTTTATGTGTTGTACAACTAGACAAGAGACCAGTTACCTGCCATTGCTTCCATCTGATGACAAACACTTAACGTATTACGGAAACGAAATATATTTTGTTATCAATCATCATATGATATTGACATTGTTCTGTATTCATATCTACTTAGAGTGAAAAATTCTGTCCTAAGGATAAAATAAATTTAAGTGTATTTTCCCTTCCAATAAGTATTTATTACGTGTTTGTGTGGTAATATGACATTTGATTCTTTCAAGCCTAGAGTTGCATGAATGCTAAATTCATAATGTCAAACCAAAACTGTATCCATCTGTGTGTGTTTATGAAAAACAATTTACTTGAAATTTGAAACAGTCTCTTTACATAATTATTGCATCAAAAATGTTTCCTCCAAAAGCTTTAATCATTTTTTTCCTATTCTATATCATTCCTAGAGCAAGAAGGACAAATGACTAAGAGATGAGGCTTTAAAATAAAGTCAGTGTCATTTTTATGATTTAGTCATTCTTTTACATCTGTTTATAAATTAAAACATACAGCATCGCAAGAAAGACTGGACACAATTTGTTTTCTTGTTTAATTTTAGTTTGTTAATATGATTAATGAATGAGTTTTATAATTATCGTTTTGGACGTTTCCTGTGTTGATAATTTCAGCCGTCTATGCGACTTAGCGGACTCGAAGTAGGATAACGGGTTATTTCTTCGGCACAAATCTAGATCTAGAAGATCCTTTTTATTTAACATATAATTATGTATAACAAGGAATCACAATTTTCACAACCTTATCCCTATAAGATCAACGTGTCAATATTTCCTTTGACCTATAACATGGATATTCTTCAGAAGTGGGATAAAGACAGTTCTAAGGACATGGATTTATTACATTTTGAACAGGGCAATACTTTATTTATTGAACAAAACTGATATTCTGTCACAGTGTAAACTAATATCAGAATGGTATTCTGACACAGTGTCTAGAATTGTAGCTGTAATGAAAATATCAGGTTTAACTCTCAAGCAGAAGGTCTGCAAAATAAGAAAGCTTAAGATTTATTTTTATACTTGCCAGAATAATAAAGACTTTTTCCCACTTGTACAATGTATAGATTTATATATCTGAATTAAAAGTTTGGGCTCCTTAAGCAGGATGATTTGTGACATTGGATTTAGGATTTAAAAAAAAACATATAATGTGAATACCATATGATTTCTTAAGCAATTTTTTAAATTAAAATTGTAATAAAATTCAAGCTTTTCCTTTCAGGTGCAAAAGCAGTGTGTGTCTAAAAGGCTCCTTTTCACAGGCACTTGTTTCTGTACTTAATTTGTATAGAGCAAAGGCACTTGTGCCTTTGCTCTATACCAACCAGTTTGCTTTTTAGTCGTTCTTTCAGTGTTTTTGCGTGAATGTATCACATTCATTCATCCTATATAAATATATTTAGATAGGCGTTTTCAAACATAATATTTCTGATTTTCAGATTATTTCATGTTAAAATAAAAATGAAAATTTTGTCGGTTTTTAAAAGACTTTTATCATACAAAGGGGATTAGCACATGAAAATATCTTGCACAGATTTCTAGATATCATCACTTCAAAAAGAACTTTGTTGTTAACATGTACTGCTTCATAAACTGCAAGGTGAATGTTGACTTGATCCACGCATCTTTAGGTCCGATTGCCACAGTGCATGCACATGGTGCCTGACCTTTGGACTGTAAAGGAAATAAATGATGGGGTTGACTGAAAGGTTAAATAACCATATGACTCGTGCGCAAATTTGAATCACTTTGCTTTCGCGTTCGCTGAGCACTTTGAAAAAGTTTAAAGAAAACGTAATAGGGAATATGATAGCAGAAAAAATGTAAATGACCATAATGATCAAAACCATTGCGGACATCCTTCGAACGTATTGACTAATTCTGAATCTACTAATAGACGTCCTCAATTTATATATTTTTGTCACGTGAAAAGCTAACATAAAGATACAAGGAACCAGGAAAAGATAACCCCTGAATACCCATACGACAATAGCGATCTTCGTTTTGGCGACATGAAATCTTGCAGAATAATAAATAACTCCAAACATCACGCTGAAAATCCACATTATACTTGATGCAGTCAATACATGACGTTTTCTGATCGTCCTTGATCTGAGAGGCACAGCTATCAAATAATATCGCAGTCCAAGCAACAGCACAACATGTGATGCCGATGCATGTGCTGTTATATAAATTACCGTCATTATTATGTAACCATGATTATCTACACAGTTT